CCGTATCTCTCTCCTCCCTCTCTCTCTTTAAAAATTGTCTCTCACCTCTCTTTCAATTTTTTGAGCTTGTAAAAGACTACTCTCCTTCAATTTTTCCACGGTTTTTATGGTTGATTCCTCAATTGATAAAGTTTATCCTTCACATGAGAAACAAATTTCCCACCCCTAATTCTGTAAGAACTCTCATCAGACTTTAGGGTTTTATTATTTGAGTTTTTGGGCATGGAAGGGTTTCATAGTCTTTTTGTCCAAAACTAAAAGGGAGAGTTTTTAGAATTAGAGGATGAAGATCCATGACCTTTGAAATGAGCATTATCATCAAATGGGTTGTTAGAGAATTTGTCAAGGACAAGTGCAGAGGAGGTCTCTTTGAGGAGGGGGAGGAGGCCAAGTTGCGAAGTGATGAGATGATCCTTCCCAATTAAAGGGCGAGTCTCGTCTCCACCAACTCTACATGTTCTCTCTCCACGCGAGGCTTGTTTAGGGAAGACGACAATGATTTGTCGAGCAACTAGTAGAATCTAGTGTTGTTCCTACACATCTTGAACACCATCCAGACCTGCCCACCATGGCTGAAGTTATTGACAGCACATGCCAAGGCACCAGCCATGATGCCACCCACTGTTGTTGAGCCCCCAAGTGCCAATCCCACCATTGCAACGGCCATCAGGATGGGCCCAGCCACAACCATCTCCCTATTGCAGTTCAAAACCTGCTTGCTAAGCCTCATGTACTCTGTCGTGTCCCTTTCCTGTACCACGCCTGCCACCTTTGCCATCTCCCTCTCCATCTCAGCGCTCCACCCATTATCAATCATCTCCTCCTCAGTCTTGGAAGGAGTAGCAGCAGCTCTCTTGGGCCACCACATTGCTGGCTTCATTTCAGAGGGGAACTTTTCGAGCATGGTAGGCTTTGTTGATGGCCAACACTTAAGCCATGGCATCATCCAGAAATTGAGAAAGCTCTGGGTGAAGAGAGGAGTGAAGGTCCAATGTGGATTGGATGTGAGAGTGAAGGCTCTTGAAGAGTCGCGTGGCTTTCCTCTGCTCCTCTGCTAACTGAGAGGCTGAATCTTGCTCATCATGCACACCATGGCAGTGGCCGTCGAGTAGAAGAAGGTGGAAGAAAGGGTAATGGAAAGATGGGCAACATTAGAGCTCGAAAATGATCGAGGGCCGCCATGGTTGCAATCGCGAGTGTGATTGAATTGGTGGAGTTGAGAAGAAGGGTGTTTTTCAATAGAGTTCTCTTTGCGGAGGTCTCAACTGAGTTTGAGTTTTTTTGACTGTTTATCTTTGTTCTTTTGAAACTCTTTCCATTTTTTGGGGCGAAAAAATAGATGCGAAGTTTTCAAAGAGAGAGAGAAAGAGCGAGAGAGGGGAGAGATCCAGAGTTTTGAAAGAGATAGAGATGAAGTCATTTTACATAATATTTAGATCAATAATGTATGGTCAAAGGGGCCTAGAGGGTAGGAAGATAGAAAAAATAGAGATTTTATGCTGCAAGAAATAGTTTCAATTCTTGGATCTATTGAAAAATGGAAGTAAAAAATAAAGCCTACAAAGATATAAAACAGGATTAGATATAGATTGGATCTAGCTTTATCAGATCCGATCTTACCATTCGGAACCAAAGTTTACATCCGATACTGACGCGAGAAATCTAAATCTTGGATCCATAGATGGGATCGAAATTCGAGTTTCTATCCAAACCGGTAAATTCTCAGGCCTACTTGACGTGACAAAGATTTCCTGCGCTAAAACTCCATCTGTTCGCGTGGTTTGATGGTGCGAATTACACAGCTTGTACAACCCCTACGAAAAAGACCCTCTCCGTCCACCTGCAAAAGTAGAGAGAGGCTTGTGAGCGCTAATGGCGAAATTAGGGTTTGACAAGCATGTTAAAGCTTATCTGAAACGTCCCATGAAAGCACTAATTTCGTTAATAATGGTCTTCTTCTTGCATTTTAACCTTGCCATGGTGCCCCGCTTCTGTAATTCTTGTTCTCTCCTTGCCATGCTCGTTCTTTCAGGTTCAGTCTACGAACCCCTTCATTTCCTCTCATGCTCTCAAATCAAATGTTGGCAAAGCTCTCTCTCTCTCTCGAAATTTGCTTTATCATTGAATCTCTCACTCCTGCTGTAAAAGTTCATTTTGTCACGGAGCGCTCTCTCTCTCTCTTCAGCATGCATTCTTGTGGCTGTCACGGCCTGTGGCATATGCTGCCGGCGCCTGCTCGGTGGTGTTTTGGCGTCCGCACCTGCAGCTGTTTTCTTCCATATTTTTTTCATTTGGGGAGTTTACACTTTCATTGTTAGGAAAGGTACACATTTTCATTCTAGTCAAAACTTTAGATTATCTTGAATTTAGGAAAGGTACATCTTTTTACTTAAAACTTTAGATTACAGGATTCTCTTGAATTTTATTCAGAACTACTCTTTTTCTCTTAAGAAACTCTGGTAATAGGCTTCTATAAACTTGTTTATGTGTATTTGTCTCAACATCTTTTATTTTTGTGTTGCAGCTGTTTCATCTTTTGTTGACGCATCATTCAATGTGGAATGTGGTTTACTTGTATTTGGTCTATGTAGGTTAGCTTCCTAATTCACGGTTCATTTGATTCTTGGTTATTATTCATGTTTGGTACATAAAAGAGTCCATGTTCACTATTCTTAGACTCCGTTCTCTTATTGAGTTACATGAAACCCTCATTTGTTGTAGAATTTGCTTTGGATATAGAGACATCAACTCATGCTTGGTTGAAAAAGCTAAAAATTTTCTCAATTACAACTCTGTCAATTATATAATATATGGACAAATCACATAAATACTTCATAAAATCAACAATCTCTTTTGAAGTTGTCCCTCAAACCAGCATTGTCAAGATTATATCCAGTAGTTTTTCCACATGAAATGAATGCTTCTCTTAGGCTTAGCTTTTGGAAACTCAAAACAATCTTCAAGATTCATCTCAGAGTGTTGTCCGCATAAATCCAAATTCATGGAATTTCCCCACCACAATCCCAATTAGACCTAAATTCATTCTCTTTCTGGAAAGGGCACACACTTTCCTCAGGCTTTGGTTTGCTTTATTTTTCAGCTCAAGCTTTTCTTAGTAAGTTGATAATCAGTCCAGGAAGCCTAGACTTCCCAATGCAATATTTGTCTTATTGCACTTATACTAGGTTGCTTGCCCCTTAGAAATTATAACCTAAATATTTTCCATAAGGAAATGATTCTTCTTGGGAACCCAAATATTCTAGTGCAACCCAATTCTTAACAACTTTAGCCTACTCTTTATGATTTTTTATGCCAGGATTTTTTTCTTTTTTGAAATATAGGCCAGGAAATTCTCCAATTTTCATCCAGAATTTCCTTCTTGGTTGTTCCCACATGGCTCTCTTAATGTCTATCTCTCATACCCAACCCAGAATAAAATAGAAGAACCTAGAGGATCTAGAAACGAAGTGATCAAGGGGAAAATAATGATAGTTGTACCAAGTGTTCTCTCATGACATTTTGATCTTCCCTTCTTGTGGTTTCTCATGTATTTTTGAATTTCACATACCCATGCTCAAGATTAACCCACTCCCAGACTCTACCAGATCCAAATTAACTTGAAAAATTAGCCAAAATTAGATCTTGATGACATCACATTGGATTGCAGTTCAGGCCAAAGATGAAAAAACTTAGATGTCTTCATGCGTGTGTCTTGAATGTCTATCACCTAAATACAATCCATCCTTAGTCTTTGAGTTCCACTATCCAATCGTGTTCTCTAAAGTATTATGTTATTCTGATCTTTCCAGATTCTCTTGTTAAAGACACAGAAGCATGTCCAACATAATGTGCGTGCCCTTCGACCTCATTTTGTTTAAAATCAAAGCACAATTGGCTTTGCTCGACAAAGTCATCTTTAAACTGCATCTAGGGGCTGGATGCTGCTGCATGCTGTTGTTTTGTATGTTTGCAGGTTGTGGAGGTTTAGCTAGAAAATAGTTGCCCTATAAGGAGTGGGTGCAGGAGAGGCAATAGAAACAGGAGAGGGGGAACTGGTAATTGTAAGATTCGTTTGGACTTTGGAGAGAAGTTTTGTCTGGTGTGTTTAGGGTGAAAAATACAACTGTGTTTGTGTTCTCTGTAGGAAGGTTGACTAAGGCTCTGAAGATAGAGAGGACACACTCTTTAGCCTTGGATATTTGACCCTCAAGATGCTACAGAGAGTTCAGGAGCTGGAGTCTTGGGGTTATTGAGATGGCATGCCACCCTAAATACAAGGTTTGGGAATGAAATGTATGTTGTAAGTTATAGGTTTATCGAGTACATAAATTTCGAAGGATAGAGACAAAGAGTTAGTAGGTGAAGAAGCCGAGACAAGAATCTCTTTGTGTTTTGAGTTATAATAAAAGATAAAACTATGAAAGATTAGAAAGCTTTAAGCATGGTCATTATTATTGGGCTCACCATGACTTATGATAGGTTAACCACGCTGGGTTAGTTTAACCATGCTAGAACACTTTCTTTGAGCCAATTAAAGAGGAAATTGCTATAGACCAAATCCAAATCCAAAGCGTTCTAACCATAGACCAAATCCAAAGAAGAGGCTTCCAAATCGATGCGCCATGTGCAGGGAGGCTGAAGAAACAAATGAGCATCTCTTCATCCATTGCCGGATAGCTTGCGCTATTTGGAACCACCTCCTCCTCCTCTTGTTCAACTGGTCTTGGGCCACTCCCCATTCAGTTCTCCGGCTATTCCAAATATCACTCTTTCTCCCATGGCCAAAAGTATGGAAAAATTCTTTGGAAGGCTTCCATGGCTGCTCTGGGTCCTCTGGTTGGACTGAAATAATAGAATCTTCCAAGGAGAGGAAACCTCCGTGCCTTCTCTATTAGACAAAGTCAAATCCCTTGTATCAGTTTGGGCAAAAAATCACAATCTCTTTAGCGGCTACTCTCAATTTGACCTCTTTCGCAATTGGCACTCATTGCTGAACACAAGACTACCAAAGATAATGTAGGCATCTCTTTGGAGGCCACTGGAATTAGGTGCATCCAAACTCAACTTTGACGGTTGCTCTCTTGGCAATCTGGGACCCTCCCACATAGGGGTAATCTTTAGATCCCATGATGGCTCCGCCCTATTTTCATTGTCTTACCCTATTGGCATTGCTGACTCCTCTTTGGCCGAGGCTTTGGCCTTGCTGGAAGACCTTTAACATTTCAACCCCTCTTGGTGTCATCAATTGATAGTTGAAGGGGTTTGGATTCTCGAAACGTCATTGCTTGGGCCTCCGGCAAGGCCAATTGCCCATGGAGGCTTCAACGCATTTTCGATGAAATTTCCCATCTATGTGCACCCTCCCAGGTCTCTTGGCAGTACATCTTTAGGGAAGCTAATGCACTGGCCAACGGCTTGGCCAAGGAGGGAGCCTTATCGAACTCCAATTTTGCAAGCCTTACACGTCCCTTAATTTGTACATTCCACAAGCTGCACCTTCACGGCTTGCTGGGTTTTTTTTGTTTTTTCTCTTTTGCTGTGTAGCATTTTTGGGCTTTGAAGGGTTTTTGTAAAGGACAACCACTCAAGTGGTTGTTTACTCTTGTCCTCCTCTTCAATATTAATGTAGAGTCAACAACTTCAAAAAATAAAGAATACTGCCTACATGTCCCATGGTTGCAGTAAGAGATAGAAAACACAATTAAAAACCTGGAATAACCAAGGAGAGAATGAGGATAATATTACCATGGTTTACCTAATTGGGCAAACAAAGAACACACGCACAACTGGGACCTTGTATATCCATTGGCAAGTGACAAGTATAGCAGGCAACATTGCCAACGGCTTTGATTAAAAATATCTTCCTTGAGCAAGTGGACCATGTCTCAAACGGGACTAACCGTTTTTTGTGCCATATCTTTGTGGTTTTCATGGAGACAAAATGGATCGAGTTGATGGGACTTTTTCTATCGCATGACTTTTAGGATCTCGTGGTGGAGTCACATAAGGTGCGATGGCAATGATGCTAATGCCGTCTTCTAAGCAAGTGTTACATCTAAGTAGAAAGTAATTTATCAGAGTAAATATTTCCTAAAACTTTTTGGATCTAGATGTATTGTCAGATCTCCTTTGTCCATTTTCCAAATCAATTTTTGGTGATAATTCAATTGATGGAAGCAAAGCGCATGCCATAGGAAACCTGTGTGGGAACTATGGGGAATCTAGGTTGAAGTCCTAAGGTTTCCTGAGTACAAATGCGGAGGAGGATGAAGCTTGCACAATTTTAAGAGAATGGGATCCTAATGGGTTCCATGTGCAATTTATTGTGTTATATGTATTATGTTTTACAAGAAAGTCCCTTGATGTTTCACAATATGGATGTGAAAGTTGGTTGTTCGCAGTATGTTGAGTGATAAACAAGGGAAATCCTCACCTTTGTCACCCAAGTTTCTATAATTCTAAAAATGCTACCCATATTTTAGGTGTCTTAATATTGCTGCCTGAGTTTTCATTTTCTTCCATTGTAGCCCCTTTTTAACTTTTCCCTTCATTTACCCATGCCTCTTCGAAAGCCAGTCCATGAATGCCTTTCCCTCTTACCAAACCCATTTTCTCTCTCTACAGTATCCCAAAACCAAAGCTCACTCGCTCTTCCCAAACCTAACCAAGACTCTCTCCCTCTATCTTAAACATCTCTCTCTCTCTCTCTCTCTTCCCCCTCCCCTCTTTCTTCTCTTCCCAATGTCCAAGGACACATGTTCTACCCAAACCCAACTAAAAATCCAAGGTTCTTCTCTATTCCCAACCCCAAAACACTAGGCTCTTTCTCTCTCTACCTCACTTAAACACAAGCCCAACCAAGCCCTCTATTTCTCTCTACAAATATCATAATACACATTTATCTTCCTTTAGTTACCCAAATCCATACCAAAAACTCAAAACTCTTTCTCTACCTGAAAAAACCCAAAGCTCTCTCTCTCTCTCTCTCTGTGCCCAAACCTGAAAAACCCTATGCACAGGTTTGGTAGAGAGCGAGAGAAAGCCTTTGGCTTTGGATTGGCTTTAGAGAGAGAGAGAGAGAGAGAGAGAGAGAGAGAGAGAGAGAGAGAGAGAGAGAGAGAGAGAGAGAGAGGAGGAGGAGGAGGAGGAGGAGGAGGAGGAGGAGGAGAGAGGTAGTAGTAGAGTAGTAGTAGTAGTAGTAGTAGTAGTAGTAGTAGTAGTAAGTAAGTAAGTAAGTAAGTAAGTAACGTAACGTAACGTAAG